TGTGCCCCAACCAGGGATCAAACCCGCAGCCCAGGTACAGGCCTTGACCCGAATGGAATTTACCCCTACTCCTCCGTGCACAGTGCCGACTCTCCAACCGGGCCACACCAGCCTGGCCATGTTTAGCACACTTTTAACATGTGTATTATTTTTCACAATGCTTTTTTATTACTTAAATATATTTTTATTGATTTCAGAGAGGAAGGGAGAGGGAGAGAGGGATAGAAACATCAATGATGCGAGAGAACCACTGATCGGCTGCCTTCTGCACACCCCCTACTGGGGAGCCTGCAACCTGGGCATGTGCCCTCAACAGGAATCCAACCCGGGACCTTTCAGTCTGTAGGCCTGTGGTCTATCCACTGAGCCAAACAGGCTAGGGTGCACAATGCTTTATTTTTAATTTAAAATTCAGCAAGAACAAAGTATTAGGGACTTGAAGGAGGATGGCTTGTTGAGTAGACAAGAAGTGTCCGCTACAAGGGAACAGAGCTTACCCATTTGAGCAGAGGGGGAAGAGAATTGTACTCACAGACAGCAGCGTGTCACAGCTGCAGATATACAAAGAATGTGGTGAGCCTGAGTGCCCGACGGCTGAACAGATTTCGCCGACACAGTTTCACTGTGAAAGAGAGGGCTAAGGGGCGGCCTGGCTCAAGGGACCAAGCAGCCTCGTAGGCCTTTTATTGTAACAGCAGTTTGAGATAAAGTTTATCTTTTAGATACAATCAGTAAGGTCAGTAATCTTGGGAGGACACGTGTTTGTAGTGTCTTTTAAGCAAAGGCACCCAAAGATTAGGCATAGGGATTCCGGTAAGCACCGGGGTCTGCACAGACTTGTTTGGAAAGATCAAGGGATAATTAGGGGTGCTGCCTTGGACACTCTCCTAAGTCTCCCCTAAGTCAGAATTCCAATAAACAGGGCAGGCGGACCTTCCACACACTCCCCTTTCCTCAGAATGTCCTCCTGACAAACTTCCCAACCAAGGCTCATGCTTCCCAGCACCTGAGGATTGAACGGTGAGTAGCCCAGTTCTGCCAGGGCTTAGAGAACAGGTGGGAAGAGGTGTGTGTGACGAAGTCCGGGGGCTGGGCAGAGGCCAGATGGCGGACAGACAGGGAGCTATATGGGCTGTTCTAGACTTTGTCCTCAGGGAACAGTGTGACATCATGAGTGGTTTAAAGCAGGGAAGTGACCTGATGAATTCAGTCAGCTCATTCTGCCTGGAACATGGGAATAAATTGAACACGGTCAGGAACAGAAGCCAGAAACCAGTGAAGAAGCTGTTTTAGTGATTCTGAAGGTTGGTGGGAGCTTGGACCAAGGTGGAGAGGAATGCAGCATCCTGTGCCGTGCATGTGCTTAACAGTCCTGTTCAACTCTGTACGACACTGTTCCTTTGGTATGTAGTTAAAAATACTGTAATGTTATATTGCGTACCCTGTTATATACTGTACCTTGCTATATACGGTACATGCTTATAACCTACACACTTGCACATGCATTTTGTGTACAGAGGTATACACACAAAATCAGGCCTCCTGTGTTTTATGAGTGATTTAAGGGATTTCCAAAGTGATGTTGCGTACGTAACTTTGCCTTACACACTAACTTTAGAACCTAGCTTTAGTGTAAGGAGCGACCCCATTGCTGGTGGACTTGAGGTATTTAGGAGGTTTGGTGGGTGATTGGAATAGGAGGGAAAGAAAGAGGAATTAATTAAAGAATGATATTCTCAGGTCTCCTGCCTAAACAACTGAGTAGGCAGTGGTTCTATTTATTGAGATGGGACCCACCAGGGGACAAACAGTTGGAGGCTAGAGATGATGAGCTCCTTTTTCTTGATATTGTATGAAAATTCTCAAAAACGTAGAAAAGTTGACAGATTGTACAGCTCATACACTTACCACCTAGATTCTGCAACTCACTTATTGCTGTATTTTCTTCTTCACATCTTCCCATGAACCCAGAGGAGTTCGTTTCTGAGCAAGCTGAATTTGTGGTATCTAAGTGTCCTGTCTAAAAGGCTGCTGATTTAGGGTACAGAAACACGTTTGAAGAGCTAAAATCGATCAAAATAATTTTTAAAAAATTAAAAAAATTACAATTTCAACCTCTGAACTGATCTCTTGTCTCTACCCTCTTCAGCTCATCTATTCCTATCCACCTGTTTGTCCATTTAATTTATCTTTTTAAAAAAATCGTTCACATCACTTTTCTTTAAAAATTTCTTGATGACAGGGCGGGAGGGAGGGAGAGATTGTGATTTGTCGTTCCACTTATTTCTGCACTCATCAGTTGATGCTTGTATGTGCCCTGACTGGGGATCGAACCTGCAACCTTGGTGTACGCAGATGATGCTCTAACCCACTGGGCTACCCCTTGAGGGTGTTTGTGCACATGACTTTTCTTTCGCAGTCGTTCGCAGGAGCTCATTGCCAGGCTGGCATGGCTTCTGGTCCTTCAAGATCTCCCAGCGAGCATGACTCAGTCTAAATCGCTGACCTCATGCCTGGCTGCTCCCCCACACCATTTAGACTGCTCAGTGGCTCCTCAAATATACCCACCACACTTCCTGCTCTATGGCCTCCTCCAAGAGGTCCCCGAAAGCCAGGCTGGGACATTGGCGTCTCCACAGAGCTGAAAATCCCTGAGGAGGGTGTTTTAGTCTCTCATAGCCAGAATACTTAGCACTTTGCCTAATACAAAGCGGACATTCTGTTTCACTTCAGCTGAACTTGGTATACATACAGGGCTTTGCAAACCTTCCTTTTCCTTCCAGCAACATCCTACTCAAGCCTGAACTCGCCCCCCCCCCCCCAAGTCGTGTGGGACTCTGACTCGGCTATCCAGTGCCCCTGGACTTAATGAATCATGTTTTAATAGCTTATCTACACAACTGCAGTAAAGGGTAACACGTCCGCTTTCCTGGGAACTAACGGCAATCCTATCCATGCCTCCAGGCTCTACCCAAAGCACCTCTTCCATTTACTAGTTCGCGGACCCCCAGCGAGAATGACTTCCTTTAACTCAGCTCATGATGCTTACAACTACTTAGCCCTGATATTCTTGTTGTCGTTAATCCTCACCCAAGGATATTTTCCCCATTGCTTTTCAGAGAGTGGAAAAGAGGGAGGGAGGGGAAGAGAGAGAACATGGGCAGGGGAGGCATAGCAATCGGTTGCCTCCCACAGGCGCTCCCAAGGGGCAGGAACTGGCCCTGCAACCCAGCTACATGCTCTTGACCAGGAATTGAACCCGTGACCCTACGGTGCTCGGGCCATCGCTCCAACCAATGCGCCACACGGGCCAGGGCAGGTCTGCTATTCTTTCCTAGCTGCTTACAGTTGCTGACCAGGTCCCCTCCTCTCCTCCCTGGGAGACTGCAAACTCCTAGAGTTGGGGCAGTGGTCCTGCTCCTCACGACCCGGGCCAGCACCTGCCGCTGCTTTTGCAAACGCAGCCTAAAGCCTCGTTCACCGATCGCCCGCTGTCCCTCCACTCGTTGGATTTCAGCCCTCCCCCCACAAACCCCCTGCGAGCGCCTCAGAACTCCGGCTGCGACTAAGGAGTTGGGGGGGCGGGGGTAGAGCTGGCCCCGCCTCCCCGTGCCCAGTCCCTGGGTCCTAGCGCTGGTCCGAGCGACGCCGGATATCCGCTCAGGCGCAGTGACGTTTTGAGAGCGCGTGATGCGTGCGTTGCCCAGGTCGCACCTAAGCTGGAAGTAGGGCGTCTGGTGAAGGGGTGGGGCCCAACGCGGATCTCGCTCGCTCATTGGCTCCTGTGCTGACGGACTAGTGAAGGAGCCACTAAGATGCTGCTTGCATCCCGTCAAAATATAAATAAGTAAATAAACAAAAGGCTGCGAGGAGGGGAGCAGCGATGTCTGCCTGAGAGCTGCCGGGGCTCAGCTTGTCCACCCACGGTTGTCGTAACCTGGCCGGGAAGTCCCGTTTTCTGGGCTGTTGTCCTGACGGCGGAGTCTGCCCAGACTCGAGTCTTCATTCCGGTGTTTTCAGCTCTGGCCTCCGAGGGCTGTCCCGCCGCCCTGTGGTCCATTTTAGGTCTGGCGGCTAGAGCCTCCTCCCGTCGCCTTTGGCCAGATATGCTCCCAACTGGCCACCCAGGTAGTTGCCTGGCTGGCTGCCACTTAGACTTTGCAAAAGGCAAATCTGAACACATTCTCTGCCTGAAACCGCCGTCGCCCTCCAGGGCACAGGCGCCGAGGTCCGCTTTAAAGCCTGTGGACGAGGCATTCATGACGAGCTCCTGCTTATCCGGTCACCTCTCAGGATCAGCACGAGTCAGGCCCTTTCAGCTTTGCCCTTCTGCTTGAGGTGTCCCTTCTGCCTGGACGGCCCGGCCCCTTGCACCCTCTGTTTCGCCCCTGGAGAAGCTCGACCTCACTCTGAGGCCTTCCCCAGTGCCCCGTCCTGCCCGCAGCCCTTCTCCCCGCTCTGGGCCCTGAGCAGACGGGCACCCTGGCTGTGCTGTGCCACACTGCTTACCGCACCTGCTAGGTACCTGGAATGTGAGTGACCTGACGGAAGGGACTGGCTCAGTGGACACTGGTAGTTCAATAGATGGATATTGAATGAATCAATATATGGAGTCCACAGATCAAAAGTGAAGATTAAAAAGTGCCAGGCAGCCCAGCTGGTGTGGCCAGTGGCTGAGTGTCAACCTATGAACCAAGAGGTCATGGTTCAATTCCCAGTCAAGGCACAGGCCTGGGTTGTGGGTCCGATCTCCAGTGTGACATGTGCAGGAGGCAGCAGATCAGTGATTCTCTCTCATCATTGCTATTTCTATCTCCTTCTCCCTTCCCCTCCCCCTTTGAAATCAATTAAAAAATGTTTTAAGTGTCAGGCAGGGATGTGGTATTTTGGGGGTGCACCAAGGACATGGAACACATCTTTTTCACTTCTGAATCTTGATAGCCACTTAAAAAGGTGACCATCCTTTTAAAATATGTGAATAAATTCAAGATGACAAATAGTGAAGTTAAGCCATTTATTTATGGTTCCATCACAGCCCGTGGGATGACTTCTGCTCCGTGAGGGCAGGGCAGTGGTCCTCAGGGTTCAGTCACTGAAGAAAACGCCAGCAGCCAGGCTTAGGAGGGTGTGTTTGTATGTGAGACAATGAGGACACCAAATCCCGAGGTGTTTACTGCAATGTGTAGTCAAGGAGGGCGGGGTGGGGTGGGGTTCACCCAATCTGATCCTTCAAGGCTCTGGGGTGACTCACTTTTCCTGGGGCTCAGAGGGGGGGCTGGTATTTGTTTCCTGAGTTGGGTCGTGTTTCCCCTGGCCCTTGGCATCCCCCGAGTCCCCAGCCACTAGAGCCACATTCTTCAGGTAATTAATGTTGAAGCAGTTGGCCTGTTCGTCCCCAGGATCCATTCTACAGCAGAAGGCAGGGTCTCGCCAGAAGTTACGTTGGGGACCACACAGTTCGCTGATGAAAGATGTTTTCTGATGTGTGGGGAGAATAAAGCAGAGACGGTGAGGAGGGGGTTGTGAAAGGTCAGGCATGGATACGTGGGTGCCCAAAGTCGCCCTTCCTTCAGCTTCTGCGCTCCCCCTGGGTCCCAGAGAGAATGCACGTCTGCCTTGCACAGCCTGACTTCCTGTGATGGACAGATGTGCACATCTGCAGACTGGAGCTTCATAGGAATGTAGCAGTGGGGAGCAGGTCAGGTCAGGACAGAGGACTTCTGGAACCAAGAAAAACCTCTCCCCCCCTAGTCCTCATTATTTCTGTGGGCTGCTTTGAGGTCCTAAAAGTAGGGGTAGCCTCCAGGTCTGGCCATCTCCCTCCCCTCCCCTGCATTCCCTTGGAGACTGTGACTCCCTGCACCCACGCTCACCTCCTCCTCGGCACAGCAGGCTTGCTCTGGAAGGGGCAGGTCACAGCAGCGGGCAGTCATGTTTCGGATGAGCCCAGGAATCTGTTTACTATGGTGGGAAAGGGGCAGGGGTCAGGGTCTTCAGGAAACCCCAGGCAATAAAAATGGTGCTTGGAGACCATGATTTTGATCTTGTCAAGAGTGCCCCAGAGGATGTCCCAAAAGGAGATTTGGGGGAAGGGAAGAGAGTTGGGAGGAATTGTAAAGACTTACTGCTTGGAGATAACTCTTTGGTTTCCACAGAGATAGTCCATGAGGTTGGGGGTGACTCGGCTGAGGTCAATGGTCAAGAGATCCCGGTCATAGTTGGGGTAGGGAGCCTTTTGGGCAAAGCATTCATCGCGCTGAGGACTAGGAGGGTACCGGCAACAGGAGTGGTGGTGGGTCTTTATAGCCAGTTCTCGCTCACAGTATCCATCAAGGGAATCCTCCCACTGTTAGCCAGAAAGAGGGAAGTCAAAAGACTGGACACTTGGCCCCTTCTCTCCTCACCCGCCACTTCCCTTGTTGCCCACGCTATAAGGAGAGGGACTCCCAACCCCAGGTGCCAGAAGAGAAGGACAAAGAACCAGAGGGCAAGGAGGCAGCTGTGGATGTGTGAGGTTGGGAGGTGGAAGGTAGAAGCACAGGTGAGGTTCGGAGCTGGCCACGGGAGATGAGCTGGACCGGTAGATGGAGGGGGTTGGGTGAGGCCAGAGCTGGATGGATGCACGGATGGCAGACAGGTACACGTGTGGGACCACGGGTGGACGAGGCTGTGAGTGCAGGTGAAGGCTCAGGACGAACAGACTCAGGTGACGAACACAACGGATGGGCGGACATTCACAAGTGGACGGACGGGTAAACGTGTTCACAGTGGGGAGGCACGTGGAGGGACGGACCAGCGGGATCAGAGGTCAGAGGTGGGCAGGCAGGCAGACGAGCTCTCCGGGGGGCTGGGACGCCCACTTACAGCCTTCCATGCACAGGTGTGGTTATTCCCCCGCCGGCAGCAGCGCTGGAGCTCCCCCTCCAGCCGGGCCAGAGCCTGCAGCTGCCTTTGGAGGCGGTCAGTAGGTGGGAGGTTGCGTGGCACCGAGCGGAAGCGTCTTGCATGGCAGATGTTCTTGATATTGTCCAGTGTAGGCACCCCCGGGGGGAAAGGCAGCTCAAGGCCCATGGATATAACAGGCTGGGGGCTGGGCCGGGCCTGGAGCTGGTAGTGTGGCCGGGGAGCTTCCTCCTCGAAGCAGGAGAACCGAGCCTCCCCCTGCTGTTTGCAGCACCAGTGGGCTCGGGTCTTGACCGAAAACTCGGCCTCACAGTACTGGTTCATTGCGTTCTCCCACTAGAGAAGAAGGGCGGGTCAGCCTAGCAGCCCTCCTCCACATTCCTGTCTTCCTCCCAGGCTCCAGGAAAGGACTCTGGGCAGTGAGGTCGGAAAGCAGCAGAGACTGCCTCCGCTCTCCAACACAGGACCAAGGAGGTTTCTGCACACCCAGGCCTCGGCCTCCAGTCCTTAAAACACACACATACTGCCTGGGGCTTAAAGGACACCCTAGGGCCACCAGCCCGATCCTTACCACAAGTTTTGCACAATCCATGCGCTTTGCATAGTAGTGGCAGCGGCAGCAGCGGGAATATCCAGTCTCCAGCATATTGAGGGTCTCACCCTGGCGACTAAGGTGGGAGTAGCCAGACTGTGGCAGGTCCCAAGGGCCATACACCACGTGTTGACGAGTAGGAAGGCAGATCTGGTCTAGGTTGTCTGGAGAAGGCCGCCCAGGAGGGAAGCCATCCAGCCGCTGGCCCCAGCACCTTTGGGGTTGGCCTGGTTGGCAGTGCTGGCCTGGACTGTGCTTCGAGATGGGAGCTGGCTTTTCTAAAGTCGGGAAAACCAAGTGGGCAGGCGGATCGCGTGGAGGGGCAGAGAAAGGCTGGATGAGTTGGGAGGATTGGAAGAACTTGGGGTTGAGGAGAAAGGATTGAGAGGATTTGAGGGAGGAGAAAGAAAGGAATTTGTGGCTCTTACCTTCAGGCTGAGTAGCTGAAAGGAAAAGAGAACCGAGGCATGAAAGGTGTCACCATTATTGTCCCCCTAAGTCAGGCCTGCTCCCTGCACTGCGTCTCAAGCTCAGGCTCCCTGCACCCCTCTGCAGGGTCCTGACACTAAAGCAGGGGGGCAGGCCAGAGCTGTCACTCACCCTCTCCCTGCTTAGGCGGGCTGTTCTTCTCCTCCTGTGCTGGTAACGGTGGTGCGTCCACTGAGGTGGGAGAAGACGCGTAAGCAAAACTCACATTGGGAAGGCGCTCTCTAAAAGAGGGCACCTGGCCAGTTCCTATTCATAGAGAGGAACTCAGTAGAGAAGCAAGTGAAAATAGTTTCTATTCTTATGCCAGTTGATCTCCTAACTTCATAAAATAGGTATAATTTCCCCAGTGTGACAGATGAAGAAACTAAGGCTTGGAGAGGTGACTTACCCACGTTTACACAGCTAGTCGATGGCAGAGCCCCAAAGCCAGGGGCAGGCGGAAGGGTAAAGAGAAGAGGGAGTCACTTACTTTCCTTCTGTTCAATAGGGGCCTGGGGAGGGGGCACTTCTTCCTGGACAGGGACGACTTTCCCGGGGCCAGTGGGATCCTCTGCCTGGCTTCCCAAGAGAGCGAGGGATCCTGAGGGGGAGGACACAAAGGACAAGGATCAGACTGATGCCAGCAAGAGGACAGTGGGCTGGAGGCGCGGGAACGGGCCAGCACTCACCACTCCTCACAAGGAGCTGGGGAGAGAACAGCTGCTCCTCTTGGTCAAAGGAGGAAAAGGGCTGCACTGCAAAAGGGGAGTGTGTGAGGAGCCCACTCCTTCGAGCCAGGTGAGGAGACAGGGTCAGGCCTGCTCTCCCCTCCCTCCCTGAAGATGTGGTGGGGTGGGGGTGGGGGGGCAGGAAGCCAGACTCGATACCCAGAGGGGCAAGGGGTGGACTTACCTTCACTCTGTCCCTCAAAGTCAGGGTCATACAGAGAGATTTCAGGGTGATCCCTGGGGCGGGCTCGTGTCAGGGGTGGGGAAGGGGGTGCTGCATAGCCAACTAGAGGCGAGAAGGGAGACAGTCAGTGCCTACAGCTCCTACTTGACCCCTAATCCCATGCCCCTCCCCCAAACTCTTACCTTCTTGAAGGTACTGGGGCCCCAACTCCCTCTGACTTGAAGGTTTGAAGCCTGGAGTGAGGAAGGGTGAGTCAGGGGGGTTTTGAGAGGCCCTTCCTGGCTGAGCACGGGGTAGGGAGGCAGGAGAGGTCAGGAGCACAGGAAAGAGGACGAAGACACCAGTAGCCTCCCCATGTCCCCTAATCCACCCCCCCAAACACTCCTGGGCGGGCGTCGCTGGCTCTGAGCAAGCCCGGGATATGACAGCCTCACCCCCTCAGACGCACAGCCTAGGGTCCCCCAATCCCGGGCCTGAGAGAAGGGGACGGATGGGGCCGGGGAGGAAGGCCCTCCTCTCCTGTCAGGGCCACTCCCTCGGGACTTCGGGGCGGCCCTCCCTCCGCCGCTCTGCGGTGGTGCTCCCCGTCTTCAGAGGGCAAGGACCCTCCTGTTCCAGGGCCTCTGACCAGACGCCTGCCCAGAAGTCTAAGCTTCCTTCACCCTTAGCTACGCCCAGGTCCTCCTTAGCTTAGGTGGCGATGGAGGACGGGGCACTGCGATGACTGGGACTGAGGCTGAGCGCCCTCAGCCACAGGGGAAGGAATCGCCTGGCTGACCTGCACTCACGAAGCCTAGGACCCAGGAGGGGCAGCGAGAGGGGCCTTTGCAGACAGAGGAGAGCTGTGCTGCTCCCCACAGCTTCCCCCGGGAGCGTGTCGTCCAGCATCCACGCGGGGCAGGTGTGTGTGCTCGAGGGCAGCTGTGTCCAGTCCCCCGGCACGGGCACCCTTTCAACTCTTCTCCCAACCAGGCAGGGAGGTAGTCCAGACTCTAGGTCAGCAAATTGGTTCGAGCCGCCTGGGGGCCCTCCTTCCACTTCCCACTGCCTAATTGGTCCCACATACACCTCCCTCAGCGAGTCCACCTCCCCACCCCCGCCCCAGTTGGCCTTTGACTCCAAGTTTGCGTTCCTTGGCAGCAATCACTAGGCACAATCTCGAGCCGCAGCAGTCTCTAGCAACCCCTCCTGTGCTCCTGAGCCCTCCCTGGTTCAGGGCTTCAGTCCCAGGCCCACCTTGGGGCTGCCTGACAGCAGGAGCAATCGGAGAATCAACCTGCTGGCGGTGAGCCACCTGGGATGGCTGGCCTCAGGCCCACGCTTGCCAGGACCCCTTCCCAAGGGCTCACTCCAACCCCAACTCACCTCCTTCAGAGGCTAGAGAAGGAACAGCCAAACAGGCCAAGACCAAGGCTGCTCCGAACATGGTGCCCATCCTGGGGCAAGGACTGGCCAGTGGCCACTCAGGAGGTGTCTCCTCAGGTAGATCTGGAGCAGAGGCCGGGCTGCTAGGAACCCGCTCCTCTGGTTGCTGCTCCCGCGGTAGCGCACTCAGGCCGGCCCCTTCCTTTTATATGGTGATGAGGGCACAGCTCCCGCCCTCCTCAGCTTCCTGCGTGACTCAGTCCCAGCTGCTCCCCCTCCGGCAACCACTCCTCCCAAACTCACCCTGAGGCATCCTGAGAGGATTGAGAAGAATGGGGGTAATGAGAGGGGAACATTTTTATTACCCCAAGATGTTTGAACATTTATTTGGTGCCTCAGTTTCTCTGTTTGCGGGTGAAGGGAACTGACAACCTGCTGAATTGGGGTTGGGGACATGGGCACTAAGGAGTTTAGAGTGGGAACAGGACACCTACCCTAGGGGCTCCCTAACCAGTGAGAGGCCTGGGCTGCCCTTTTTATTAATTTTTTTCTTTTGATTTGAGAGAGGGAGGGAGGTATTGTTTTGTTCCACTTGTCTATGCGTTCACTGGTTGATTTTTGTTGCTGTTAATCCTCACCCGAGGATATTTTTCCATTGCTTTTTTTAGAGTGGAAGGGAGAGGGACAGAGAGAAACATCGATGTGAGAGAGAACATGGATTGGTTGCCTCCTGCATGAGCCCCAACCAGGGCCGGGGACCCTGGGACCAAGGTACATGCCCTTGACTGGAATTGAACCCAGGAACCCTTCAGTTTCAGGGTCGACGCTCTATCCGCTGAGCCACACCAGCTAGGACTCATCCATTGATTCTTGTTATGTGTCCTGACCAGGGATTGAACCTGCAACCTTGGCGAACAGGATAACACTCTAACCAACTGAGCTAACTGGCCAGAGCCTGGGTTGTCCCTTAATTTGGGAAACATCCATGTGAGAAACATCAATTGGTTGCCCCCTGCGTGCACCCCAACCAGGGATCGAACCTGCAACCTGGGTATGTGCCCTGACCAGGAATCCAACCCACCGCCTTCTGGTGCCCAGGACGATGCTCCAACCAGCAGAGCACTGGCCAGGCGGGGCCGTCCCTCTTCTCTCTCCCCATCGCCCTGGGACAGGAGAGGGAGGCGAAGTCAAAATCCTTTTATCCCCCATCAGGAGTCAGAGATGACCACACAACCTCAGAGCTTTAGGTTTATTATGCTGTTTCGCTCTCCTCACATGCAAGCAGCTGTGGCTTCCTCCACATCAAATCTCTTTCCAAAGAGTAGATTCGGGCCTCCACACAAGTTCTGAAGGGTCTGGGACTCCGACTCTGTCCGTTAGGTTGGCCCCTCCTGTGTTCGGAGAGGCTGGTGGCTCCTGCAGGTCTGTCACATGACTATGCAAACGCTCAGAAAATTTCCTCGGCATTTGGGACCCGGGTGTTCTGCAGCTCCAGCAGCCGCCCCACAGCCTCTGTCAAGTCCCGTTCTCCAAGCCGACGGTTGTCTCGCGTCCGAACGTTCACTGTTCTGTTGCTCTGCTCTTTCTGGCCAACCACTGCAAGTAGAGGGGGTGGGTATCTCAGGGCAGATGTAACCCACCTGGGGTGTCTCCCTTTGCTATGCAGAAACTGAAGCGATCGAACCTAAATCTTTAGAAAGGGTGAGAACAAAGCCCAGATGTGGTGCGCGGACGATATTTTACTGGTTCTTGCCCTTCAGCTCCCTGCTCGTGCTGAGGAGATAAGAAGCTACTTCAGGCCAGGAGCCCAGGGGTCAGAGATAGTGGGGTCAGCCAGAGCCAGACAAAGATCAGCTGACCCAGGGGAAGTGCGTGTGCACCTGTGTGTGTGAATACAGAGCAAGGGGAGGTGGCAGTGTGGAAGGCTCGGCGAGTCCACGGGGCTGCGGGCAGCTTGCTCCAAGCGCTGGCAGCACGAGTGGGTGTGCAGAACTAGAGAATCAGGTTATCTGGCTTTTATTGAAAAATGAAAAAAGGAACAGGCAGAGCTACACTCGTCTCCATAAGGCCTTTCTCCTCACCCAGGAGGGCTGACTCCATCTAGGTCTAGAATAAACAAAGCTAACTAATTAAGGCCTTATTAACCCTTCCTGTCCCTTTCTCTCTGGCACGCCCTTGGTGAGTTAACCTAACAGACAGCGATGAAGGGTCAGAAGAACACTGTTCTGTGGGTCAGAGGTCGCTGTCGGGTGAAGAAAACTATGGTCCAAATGGCTCAGGCACCCTGAATCCTGGCTCCTGTCCAGCTCAGGAACTGAGCCCCAATTAAGCCAAATATGCAGATGACCGAACTTAATAAAAATGAGGACAGTGTACAGGGCGGGTGCTTGAGCTGTCACTCACCAAACTGAAAATTGTAGTTGGCGAGCTGGGCCCCGCGGACTCTCCGGCTGAGGGTCTGCCTGGAGTCAGCGTCCAGGTCTCCGACCAGCCCCGCCGCCTGCAGGCTCTGCTGGACCTGGGCAGAGGTTTGGTGATAGGAACTTAATTTAATGGAAGGCTGAGGAGTAGAACAGTCTGATACCAAAGCCCCATCTGTTCCCCCTTCCTCTGCCTCAAGGCTCTCGGGGTCTCACAGACACCCCTCCTCACTGTCTCCACACTGAGGCCCTGCCCTCGCCCCGCGGCTTCTGTGTCTGCCTCCTGCTGGAGCCCAGCCTGCAGATTCCCTGGCCTGCCTGCTCTGGCTACACTCTACCCAACCAGCTGCTTGACCCGGGGACAGCCCATAGCCTAACTTCTCTCTAGAAAGCAAAGGAAAAGCAACATTTATCCAACCCCTTTTTGTGCGCTGTTGTCAGCCTTTCATGTAAGCTGGTTTAACTCACACACCTCCACCAGGAGGGACCAGTTTGTTCCTCAGGTGTGGACTTCCCAGCACGCAGGCCAGCAGCCAGCTGAGCCCAGCCCTGTGGTTCCGAGTGCTTGCGCCTCTCCCACCCCAGGTGGTCTCTTCCTAGGCGTTTGCTCAGGTTCCTATTAGTCTTGCTTCAGCCCTGTCCTGGCCCCCAACTCCTCACCTCCCTGGCATAGTCCTCCTGCTCGGTCCCCACTGGGATGACCATCACCTGGAATGGGGACAGCCACAGCGGCCTGGTTGGGAGAGAAGAGGACAAATGAGTCATTCTGGCTCTGACTGTGAGGGTGGCTGCAGCGAGCAGACTGGAGCAGGAAACAGGAGCTGGAGCCTGAAGGGGGCAGGGTCCGGGGCATGCACTGTCATGCCTGACTCAGAACAGAGTCTGGAGTCGGGGGTCTCACCATCTCCCCCCACAGCTCTCCGCCAGCACTCCCAGCATCCTTTCCACAGAACCCAGAACTGCTCGGTGAATGAGGACTGGACGCTCCGGGGCCCCGGCTCGCCTAGAGAGAAAAAGGAAAGTGGATGGAATGGAGGAAGTAGCACAAATTGTGCAATCAGGATCACCTGCCAGTTCTTATAGAAATATCCAGGCTCAGCAGGGGAGGGTGTGGGGGATTGGTTACTTTCAGGGCCAAAGGGAGAAGGGGAAGCTGTTCTCCAGTGATCCCATGGGCAGCCGAGGGAAAAGGGAACTTGTCCGGACAAGGCTCTGTACCCTTTGTACTGGAGGTCAAATCTCAGGGGCAGCTGGAAGTCAAGCTGGATTGTCCCGCACTGATGGGGCCGACCCAGGGCATCGTGGAGGTGCACGTCAATCTGCAGGAGAGAGGGGGGGCCTGGGAGAAACCAGAGCCAGTGCCACCCCCTTTCCACCCACCCCAGGCTGCTCTGAGAGACGGCCGCCCAGCTGTGCCAGACTCTGCTTGACTCAGCGGGGACTCCGGCAGGGACTCAGTGGTGTTATATTAGGGGACACCCACATCCACATGACTGACCCATCCACTCCCTGGCCTCTCAATTCCTCGAGCGCCTCATCTCAGAGACCCTCACCCACACTGTGGCTACAGCCTTGTCCTTGCCCAGAATGGCTGCACCTCTGGAACGGTCCATCCTGCTCTGAGACGTCTCTTGGTTTTCTAGCTTTGACAATTACTCCTGCTAATAGCTCTTCAATGTCTAGGTTCCTTAATGCTTCTTTTTCTTCCAGTTCACAGGTACCCTCCCGCCTGATTCTTCCCTAGGCAGCTGTACCACTCTCCCAGGTTCCCGACGTCATTGTTCCTCTATCACATCCACATGGCAAACTCCCCTGGTGGTACCTCCCCTCCCACCTCCCTGGCTCTTAACAGAACGGCTCAGTGCGACCCACCATGGCACACACCACACAGAAGCAAAACGACGGACGCCATCCATGTCCCTGTTTCAACCTCAGCTGGACCCTTGCTGCTGCCCCAAGTCTGTGGCAGCTTTGACCAGCTGTGTCCTGTTCTCCTCAAGGATTGTCAAGCTTCCCCTTCTGTCTTCAGTGTTCACCTCCCTCACTGAAAACTCCTCTCCC